AAAATAATTTTGAGTTGTATGTTTAGTTATGAGTTATAAATTTTTGTATCACATATCAAATGTCACATCAACAATTCTCCACTCAAATCAAACCTCTTTTCCAAAACTATTTTCAAAACTCTTTACCAAACAAATTTTTTACATTCAAATCATAATTCTACAGCACACAAACTCAAAATACAACTCATACTCTCAAATCACATTTACAAAACACAACCAAACGCAGGCTTAATTTTTTGACTTTTTTAATTTATTTTGTCTTTTTATGTGTAAAAAATATAAAATGTGATGTGACTCAAAATAGGTATAAAAAAAAAACTAAAAGTTGACTTTTGTTTTTTTTTTACTTGCCAAAAGACCTCTTAACCAATGATGTGAAATTTTAGAAACTTTTTTTAAAAAAAATTCCTGCCTAGAATTATGGTATTAATAAATACTCTTTTAAATGTTTTTGTGATCTAGGTGTAGCTTATTGTTAAGCTACCTCTTAGGATTCGTTTGGGATGTGAATTAGTTTTTTGACTTTTTAATTATTTTAGTCTAAGTGTCCTATTTTAATTCACACTGTTTCATCGTTGCAATAAACAGTCATTAACAAACTATATTTTATTGTGTCTTTTCGTGGCGTGAACGCAATTCGCCACGCAAGCAACGCTTGTTTTTGGATAAGCTGTGATTTCTGAAAAATTCTATTTTCACGCATTAAGGTGCGTTTAGTTATGTTTTGAAATAAATTTTTAAAAAAAATTAAAAAAAAATTATAAATTTTTTTGATTTATTTAATTATATATTTTAAAAATAATTTTGAAATTTGAAATAATTTAATATTTTGTTATAATTAAGTAGATGTGTGTAAGAAAAAAATGTTTAGAAATAAAATAATGATATATGCACCAATTAATGTACTAATTAGTGTATCAATTGATGATGTGTCATAATTTAAAAGGTTTTTAGTGTTTGTAATGTGATTAATGAGTGGGATCAATAATAATGTCATAACTAGTGTTGATATACTAGTTGGTGCATGTAACACTACCGTTTCGAGAACGAACTTTATTTTGCTGCTAGTGAAGTTGGAATTTATGATGATGATGCTCAACATTCAATGGAATACCAAAACATTCCATTTCTATTTAGATGATGAAAATATGAAAGATTTAGAGTTTGTTTGATTTAGTTTTAGAATCATAATTTGAGTGTGTAGTTGTGATTTAAATTTAAAGTTGTGAGTGGAATTTTGAAAAGAGAAAATTTGTTTGGTTATAAGATTTAAAGTTGTGAGTTGAATTGTTATTTGAAAATGTAATGCCTTTTTGTTTTGTTTAGCTTGTGTTGCTAAATTTCCAACCCCAAAATAGATCTCTAGGCTAATCGGTTACTACATGCACTTTAAGTACTCAAGCCGATACATAACATTAATAAGTATATATAACTAATGTAAGCAATTGCTCCTCTCAAACATCTTGTTCAAAGCATTAAATTTCCTGCTTTTACCTTTAACTCAGGTTGGTTCCTGAATCCTAACATCTTGTTCAAAGCATTAATGTAAGCTCGGACACTGGAGATAACAATATCCATTCCTGCCCCAGTTCCACTGCCACCAATAGGAGAGATAATAAATCATATAATTCAAGTATATTAGATAGCACTGTAAACTGCAATCAAGTATATTAGATATAATGATTCAATTATAGTCAAAAGAAAAGTAGACTTAAGCGATTGTCATACCTAAATGTATGACGGACAGTTTCTTCACTAGCATTTGTTGATGTATGGTTGTTGTCCCCACGAATTAAAACTCGAGTGGTGGCTATTGCATCAATGCCTTCTGTTACAGCATTCATGGAGTACTCAAGAAGAGTTACAGGTACCTGTATGTATATATGGAGAAAGAGTAGTCATTACAAATAATTTTTTCCATGCTGAGAAATATGAACAAATGCAGAATAAAAGATACACAACTCAAAAGAACACTTATCGGTTCAAGCTGCACAATATTGTAACCAACTACTGCTTCAGTAATGAAGAATGATATTGTTCTTAATGATAGTAGTGCAAGGGAAGGAGGCTAAAGTTATTTTGGGTTGAGAAAGTAAAAGTCAGACATGTTAGCATGTTTGGTTGAAGCTATGACCATTGATAGAGTGGAATGGCAAAACAAGATTTAAATAGTCCACAAACGTTGAGTTGAGTTTCAAACTAAAATCACATGTATGTTCTTTTTCATTGCCAAACTAACTGTTTTGCAGACTTGGGTTCTATTTTTTATTTTATTTTTTTCTGAAAAAATCAGTTCTCAATGTAAAAAAATTCTTGTTGAAAATGGATAGTTAAATTATTATCAACAATACTGATATAATTGGGCACTGTATATTGACGATTACTTTTGGTTAAATTGTGAATAACTTTTAAGTTCTGGATTATAGCAGGTTTTGGTTAAAATTTTGATACTTTTTGAGTTGTAATTGTATACAAATGTTCCACCAGGATGTAATAGCTGTACAGAAATCTCATCCAATTCTAGTCCAAACACCAGCGAAAATCTATACCCAAGGCCAAGGCACGAAATCTATTATGCCCAAGTACAAGTTATTTGGTTTGGATATCAACTTCTGAACAAAATTACATGGTTCAGAAATCAACTTTTGAACAAAAACCTATGTTTAGGCTATATCTTTTGGTTTGGAAGTTGATTTCTGAACCATAGGTTTTGGTTTAGAAGCTCATTTCTGAAACATAGGTTTTGGTTATCAAGTAGTTTTGTTCGGAAGATGATATCCGAATGAAAAATGATGTGTGAACTGAAAGAAAGTAGTGTGTGGAAATATAAGATCCCCCATATGGTTCCACATTTTTTCAGCCCATATCCATTTATTTAGACCTTTTATCTGGCATGAAGGTATCCCTTTATCCTTCTTCCACTCACAGAAGAGGGTGCCTCTTTGTGCAAGCGTCTTTAACTCCTAAACCTTATAGTAAAATTGTGGGGAAAGAAAATAGCAAGTTTTCTGTTCAAACCTTCACAATGTGATCAACAGCCTTGTAAGCTGAATCAACTGGCCCTGTTCCATTTGCACAAGCAATATGCTCTTCCCCTTCTGCATCAATGAGTTTAACAGTTGCCATAGGAAGACCAAGAGTTCCACATGTAACCTGTTTGTCAGGTCACTTCCAACTAATTGTTAGAGCCATAGCTTAAATGAATAATGAATGACTAAGTTGAAACTCGAGAGTCTATGCAGTGTCCTCCTAGGATTCATACTCCTAAGGATAATGCTTATCCTTTTACACCCTCCCCCACTGCTTAAACCAAGTGGGATGGTTTCCTCCATGGCCGAACCACCATTTGACCGAAATAAAACTTGGTTATACTAAGCCACCGAGTGGACCGAACTCATTCATGGTTCGGTTCTTTTGTCTTCCCTTTCTTATCTCGGCTTTCCATATAGAACCCATAGTACGGTTTTAGACCGAACCAGCGACTTTCGACCGGTATAACCCCAAGACCGGCACAACTCCAAGTTGCTTTCGGACCGAAGTACCTCTACAGTCATTGTGCCAAAGTAACTTTGTCCCTCTTATGCCGGAGTAGCTTTGCCTCTCCTCGGCCGGCGTAACCCTGTCTCTCCTGGGCCGGAGTAACCATACCTCTCCTGGGCCGGAGTAACCTTGCGGCCTTTTCACCAAGTCCTTGGCACTTTGGGCCACGAAGCCTACCACATAGCTCGGCCCAATTTTTACCAAAAATTACCCTCTCAAATATAGACACAAAGTAAATTGGGATCCTGTTCTAAACTCCTTGTACCAGTGGTGCATCATGTGTAGAAGAAACAGAGAATCTTTAAACCAGTTATTCTTGCATTGCCATCTAGCTCTTAATCTTTGGCATTGACTCTTTCTTTTGGTTGATTCACTTTGGGTGGCTCCAGGTGTTAGTGTTAACATGCTTTAATTGATTTCCAGGGTTTTGGAGGCAAGAAGATGGCAAAAGTGTAGTGGCCTTGTATTGTCTTCGTAATCTTTTGGGCTATTTGGTTGGAAAGGAATGTAAGGATCTTTGAAGACAAATTTGAAGATTTGGATTCATTGTGGGATAGAGTGTGTCTCTTGACATTGTTTTGGGCTTTTGTTTCTCCATTGTTTAAAGGGGATCGGCATTGGAGATATGTTTGTGGACTCCTTGTCCTCTTCTTGTCTCTATTTTAATTTCAATAAAGTTTCTTTTTGTTGCCGATCAAAAAAAAAAAAACATATATCATGGAACAATTAGTAAACAGGAATTTAGAAAGTTAGAAACAAAGAAGAAATAGAAATTGCCAGTGACCAGGCACAATATTCTTCATTATTAATCAGAAGTTGTAAAGACTCACGCAAGATAGAACAAACAGAATTTTTTTGGAATTCCAGTATAAAACTTATTTCAACCCTTCAATATTCAATGAAGAAAAAACAGATAACACAGTTTTCGCTATAATCAATAAGCAACTCCAATTATTGGTGACAACTTTAAAATTATTACCAATATTGGGGTACTATGGCTTTCGATAAAACTAATGCTACATCATCTTAAGCATAGGCAGATTTTCAAATTTGGATTAACTTATTTCCTCAGCAAACTTATTTTACAAAATTTTAGAGTGTACAAATGCATTACTTCATCAAATACAAAGTTATCTGGATTTTTTTAGTGAGCATCAAACACAAACATTTTTTTTTTTTTTCAAAGATCAATGTTAAAAATTCTCAAAAATTTCTCCAAAGTTGCCTTGCCTCAACATGAAACCATGAAAGCGTTCAAAAAGATTCAATTGGACTTTTTTTGCAGCTCCTCGATCATAGCCACGGAGGAAGAACAATATAAGAGAGGAGACATGAAATTTATGTCGTTCGGCCGTGATGGCCTTCATCCACCACAGAAGATCAATAACACTATTTTAGTTTTTCACTCAAATGAATACATATGAATACTATCATATCTATAGACCCTAGATAGAGAGAGAATTATTTGGATATCTACTATCTCAGGCATTATTATTATTTACAAATCTCAAAAGATAAGATTAATATTGTGAATTTTATCTCTAACACCTTCCCTTAAGATGAGCAAGAATCATAAATGCTCATCATGTTTTTTTAACCCTCTTAAATTTTTTCCCTCTTTTTATTTTTATTTTTTCCCCTTCTAAACTCCCCTTCCATGAGAACACCACATCCAGTGTGTATGAATCGATCTAAGAGGAATCATAGGTGGCCACTCGCACCCTCCACCAATATCCCTCTCACAAGCAAATCTTCACACCTATTTCCCCAATATATCTTAGTAGAAAATGTCCAACTTCTAAAATCCCAACCTCCTCCTCTCACTAGAGAGCCACCATATCCCAATCAACAAGATGATATTGAAATTTTTCTCGTGCTCCGCTGAAAAGAAAATCACGCTGCAACCTTTTAAGTCTCTTGGCCATAGAAGTTTGGATAGTGCAACAGTATAAAGTCAGGTAGCTCAACCTCCTAACCTCCTTTGAAACTGTTCCACCACTCCATCCTACATCACCTGAGCCTTAAAGGGATACCAAAATGATATTAGTACAACTTGCATTATCAATAATAAGCTTTTGGCTTAATTTTCAGAATGGAACAACGTTCAAAAAATATAGAAGTTCATCATTAATCTTCATCTTCAACTTTGGAGAATTAATGCAGTTTTACATTCAAAAGGAGTGAGGAACAAGTAAAAAGCCAAGAAGTAAGACAAGGAGAAGGAGGAGGTGAAGCACTCGGCATAATACCCAGGGTTTGATTTGCCTCACACAACTGCAAAGGGAAATTTAAAATTGCTATAAAATACTCAAACTTGCTCTTCATTGAACTAAAGGCATTACATGGTTGTATAAGAACTTGTAAGACTATAAGTTGTCATAGAACTACCTTTTGAATTTGAAACCTTTTGACTTCCAATTGAAAGCCACACAAAGCATGACCCACTTTAGGACCATGAACCAAAACTCAGCCTGTGTCCATACAAAATTTGACATTACCAAATTGCCAACTCCTAAAACCAAGGAAAGAAGATAAAACTGACTAGCAAGGTAGTAATAACCTAGATAATAGTGAAAACTTGCCTTGAAAGAATGGCTATGTGCCAAACAGGCAGCACTCATCTAGTTTTAAATATTCTAACAAACCAAACTAAACATATACAAATCCTAAAGCAGGGCCTTGTTCTAAACAACTAGAACAAGCAGCATATACAAATAGCTAGAGGGCCAGACCAATTCATCTGATAAAATGGAGTACTATGGGAACCAAACTAACCAACTGAATTTGGAAGAATACATTATGATGGTGCAGTTCGTGATGATAGAACGGGTCGGACTAATCCACGCTCCTTAAGCCTATGTCCGAATGACCAAGCCCACCTGAAGACCTGCACAAGAGTTCAACGGGGAACGGGGAGTCCCCCAGCGAACCCTCCGACGAGCAAGTTAGAGAGAGAGAAGTGGAGTGTAGAGATGGAGTAGAGATAGAAAAGCCTAACCTTCTTCTTGTCTTCAATGTCTGCTTATATCCTCTGGTAATCATTTCGTTGTCCCTTCCGACCTGTCATCTTGGCCGAAAGTTTATGTTGTAGCTTACCTTGTTCAGGGTGAGGGCGTGTTGTCCTGACGGAGAGGGGTTATCACAATAAATGTTGTAAGGGGCCTCATTAATGGCGATGTGGCGTAGCAATAACTTTGCAGATCTTTGTCTGCTGCTGTGGCTTGCCCTTCTCTTGCCATGTGTCTTAATGCCATTGGTTCTTATTGCTATGTGGGGCTTCAGCAGTGCTGGGCTTCATAAATTGGATTATGTATTGGGCCCTAAGTGGTGGGCCTGGGTTGTTCATAGTGGGTTGTAGCCTTTATGGGCCTACCCATGTCAGTAGTCTCCCATTCCCAAGTGCAGCTTTAGTCCAACGAAGGGAATAATGAAGAAAATGAGGGTTGTTAGAGACCGGCAGGATGGAGGCCGACCGATAGGAGTGACCGAGTGGAGGGACCGACCATGAGGAGGGCCGGCCGCGAAGGGTGGCCGAGTGGAGGGACCGACCATGAGGAGGGCCGACCATGAAGAATGGTCGAGTGGAGTGACCGACCATGAGGAGGGCCGACCGCGGAGAGTCGCCTAGTGGAGGGACCAATCACGAGGAGGGCTGGCCGCGAAGGGTGGCCGAATGGAGGGACCGACCATGAGGAGGGCCGACCACAAAGGGTGGCCAAGTGGAGTGACCGACCATGAGGAGGGCCGACCGCGGAGGGTCATCGAGTGAAGGGACCGACCACGAGGAGGGCCGACCGCGAAGGGTAGCCGAGTGGAGGGACCGACCGTGAGGAGGGCCGACCACGAAGGGGGAGGTGGCGGAGTGCGGGGCTCGAGAGGCGGCGAGTCACGTGGTGACTTGAAATGGAAAAGACAGGGTAGGGGAAGGGGGCAGTGAATCGTGGCCGTACACGTGGCAGAATCACGTGGTGGGGAAGGTTAGGCGTTGGGCCAGAAGTGAAACGATAGGTCATTGTGGGTGTTGAAAAGACAATTTTGGCGAATGGTTGAAAATTTTTCAAACTGGCGAAAATTAATTGTGACCCCTGGAATACAGGCAAGCCTTGGGCTTTTGGTATTATATGTTTTACATACCTTTTTTCGAAAAATCAAAACACTCCAAGTGTAGACTCCTTCGTTGCAAGTGATACACCCTTGCGACATTTTTTGAATTTCTTTGCGCCTGCATCCGAAGCTATTCGTAGACACACCACAGAAATAGCCCAAGAAAAAGCTGCAAACACCAGGGTTGATCCATTGGGGGACGACGATGCGGTAGATTTGGCGGAGCAATACAAGACGGAGAGGCGAGTGGGGAGTGGGGGGGAGCCGTCGGGGCGACCTCGTTCGTCCACAATGATGGCGGCGCCGACGCCAATTAGCCAGGTGGAGCCAGATCACTGGTATACAAAGGCCGATAAGTCGATCATTATCGCGAAGGAGCTGGAGAGTATACGGGAGAAGTACCAGATTCCCGCAGAGATAGAGTTGAGACTGCCAGAATCAAAGGAGAGGACATCTGATGTTCGACCAGGGGAATTCGCCCTATACGAGGAGGCGCTAAAGGGGGGTTTGAGTTTGCCCCTACCCCGGATA